GGCCAAGTCCTTCTCTTCTTCATGCTGCGGGGGTGTTAGCGCTACTCGTAGATCGTAGTATCCGCCCGTAATCTCCCATGTACCTGTCACAATAGCGGTTAGAACGCAAAAGCCATAGCTAGCAAGCTAGGCAAGAGAGAATAAGCAAAGGAGGAGTTTGCACTAGCAGCAGTTGAGATACATATAGGAAACCCTAATTGGGTTGTACTCGCTATAGAGTACCCCACTGCAGGCTAGACAAGCATGATATTCTGACACACCCCCATAGTCAAAGTGGGGTATAATCAGCACAGCAAGCAATCATAGAGCAGGTTCACAAGAACAAGCAAAGCTAGAGGCTATCACAGAGGGCAAATGAGGAGGAGGAGAGGACGTGGTGGGCGGCAGCTGAAGCTGCTGGCACACGGCGCAACTGGAGCAACTGGCACACGGGCAACTGGAGCAGCTAGCACACTGGCAACTGGAGCAACTGGCACACGGGCAACTGGAGCAACTGGCTCCGCGGCTAGACGAGCGGCAGGAGCAACTGGCTCACGGGCGACTGGAGCGACGGGCTCACGGGCGACTGGAGCGACGGGCTCACGGGCGACTGGCGCAACGGTCTCACGGGCGACTGGAGCTGCTGGCTTCACGGCGGCCACCCCCCTTCAACCTCCCCCACTGTCCCAAAGCTCCCGTTCACACACCCCCTGCTGTTCCTCTAGCACTGCACCCACGAAACCCCCCTAGCGCCACACCCGCGGCTCCCACACATCCACCCCCCTCAGCGGCAGCTGCAGCAGTGGGAGACGGAGTAGGAGGAGGAGCAGGGGACGGCTCACACACCCGTCACCCCCATACTCGCCACCCTTAAACCCTAAAACGGGCAGCACCGGGCAGGAGAGCGTGCAGCAGCGGGGGCGGTGCTCGTGGTGAAGCGGGACGGCTGGGGCAGGCTGTACGGGCCGCGCACGGGCGTGGCGCGGGCCGTACGAACCGCGCGCGGGCTATACGGGCCGCGCGCGGGCCTGGCGCAACCCGTACGAGCCGCGCGCGGGCCTGGCGCAGGCCGTACGGGCCGCGCGCGGGCCTGGCGCAGGTCGCGCGGGCCGCTTCGGGCGACGGGGGGCGACGCGCGGGTCCCCGGGGGTGACGCGACGGGCGACGGGGGGCCCACAGGCCAAGAGCGTAACAGCTCTATTACCATGTCACAATAGCGGTTAGAACGCAGGAGCCATAGCTAGCAAGCTAGGGAAGAGAGAGTAAGCAAAGGAGGAGTTTGCACTAGCAGCAGTTGAGATATATATAGGAAACCCTAAGGGGTCGTACTCACTACAGAGTACCCCACTGTAGGCTAGACAAGCATTATAATCTGACACACCCCCATAGTCAAAGTGGGGTATAATCAGCACAGCAAGCAGGCATAGAACTGGTTCACAAGGACAAACAAAGCTAGAGGCATTCACAAAGGGCAAGTGAGGAGGAGGAGGCGGGACTGTAAGAGGAGAGGAGATAGGAAGCGACGGCTGAAGCTGCCGACACACGGGCAACAGGAGCGACACTGGCACAGTGGCTACCAGGACAGCGCCCCGGACTACTGGAGTAACTGGCTCTGCGGCTAACTTTGAGCGGCGGGAGCAACGGACCCACGGGCAACAGGCGCAGCAGGCTACTACTGGGCTACCGGAGCAGCGCCCCGGACTACTGGTGCTGCTGACGACACGACGACAGCCTCCGTTCAACCTCCCCCAACTGTCCCACACCCCTCTCACACACCCCTTGCTGCACCCCTAGCTCCACTCCCACGTCACCCCCCTAGCACCACTCCTTCGGCTCCCACACACCCACCCCCCTCAGCGGCAGTTGCAGCAGTGGGAGACGAGGGAGGAGGAGCAAGGGGAGGAACTCACAACCGCCACCCCCACACCCGCCACCCCCAAACCCTAACGCAGGAGGCACGGGGAGGGAGATGAAGCGAGGCGGCGCGCGGCCCCCAGGGCGCCACGACGGGCGACGGGATGGCGGGGACGCGCGGCCCCCATGGCGCCACGACGGGCGACGGGATGGGGGGGACGCGCGGCCCCCGGGGCGCCTCGACGGGCGACGGGATCGGGGGGACGCGCGGCCCCCGTGACGCCACGACGCGCGACGGGAGAGGGGGGGACGCGCGGCCCCCGTGGCGCCGCGACGGGATGACGCGAAGGGGGGGGCACGCGCGGCCCCCGGGGCGTCTCGACGGGCGACGGGATGGGGGGGACACGCGGCCCCCGTGACGCCACGACGGGCGACGGGAGAGGGCGCCACGACGGGCGACGAAACCGCAGCGCGCGCCCGGAGCGCACGGCGGGCAGAAAACCGCCGCGCTCCACGAGCGCGCGGCGGGATGAAAAAGTGTCGCGCGCCTGGGGCGCGCGACCAGCAGAACAGTAGTAGCGGAAGCATAAGGCAGGCCCACAGGCCAAGAGCGTAACAGCTCTGATTCCATGTCAGAAGAGTAGCTAGAACGCAGGAGCCATAGCTAGCAAGCTAGGCAAGAGAGAATAAGCAAAGGAGGAGTTTGCACTAGCAGCAGTTGAGATACATATAGGAAACCCTAATTGGGTTGTACTCGCTATAGAGTACCCCACTGCAGGTTAGACAAGCATGATATTCTGACAGTACCTAATTAGTCTGGATCTAACATCGCACAAAATAAGGTGCGGGACATTTCGGAAAGATTTGTCCGTGTGGTGTGTCGAGAGGGAAGAGCTGACTCGTTAGAGCAAGAGGTTTTTTTGGGCCTATAGGTCGCCTACACAAACTCGTAACAGTCAATCGCGAATCCTGTATGCAATATATTTATTACAAAACTTGTTTAGGGTACAATTGGGCGCAAGTTATCGTACATTTCGAATGCATAAGGACAATAATTTCGTTTAATGTATACTCAGCTTACTGATAACTTCTAGACTTTTTGTTTCTGTAATTTCTGACTAATCCAATTACGGTACCTCAAGCAACCTCTCCACATTTATTAGCATGTGTATAAATAGTGAATAATAGTACCGCGAAGTCTATTTGAATCTAAATCATGGGTGTAGCTAAGTGGTAGAAAGATCTTTGGACTCTGAAGCCTCAGAATTGCCCAGTCCGTTGGGCGCGGAGTTTCCACCGTGCCCGCGACGTGATGATCTCGGGGGGTTCTTCGAAGCAGTCTTTGCCCCTCCTACCCACACCCCCGAGATTCTCGCCCTCGCGTCCTTGTATGGCGGAGGACTCCCCCCTCCCCTCCCCTCCCAAGTTGGTTGGGGGCGGGCTTGCAGAATCATCTGATACTCCGCTGAAAGGATTCCCTTCATCGCCACACACCGCGCAATTCCGCGCACTTCCGCGCACTTCCGCTTTTGCTGCTACCCGCGCGCTCTGGCCTTGTCACGTCCAGGCGCCAGTCAGTGCCCCTCCCTCCCACCCAACCCAACCTGCAGGCCCACCTTTGCCCCTTGTGCTCCTGTTGCCAGCCTGCCAGCGTTCCCAGCAATTAGGTTTCTAATCATCTGCTTCAACCCGCAGCAGGACGACGGTAGTTTCTTTTCTTCAGGTAACACAGTCGACGTGGATAGGATCGTGACCCTGGCTTGCGGTGGTGGTGGAAGATTAAGTAGTAATCCATGGGTCCACGCTCAGATATGCTGAAGACGTCGAGTGTGGGGAGCTTGCACGATGACGATAGCGACGAGGAGAGTCGAGTTGTGGAGGAAGATCCATCAGGCAGATACTGTCGAGTACGTGAACTTATCTTATTGAATTCGTATACTTTCTGAATTTCTGATGTTTACGAGGCTTCGTCCTGTGGCTGTGCTTATCGGCTGGCTGCGTAACACCAAACTTTCTTTCTTGCGGTGGATCTTTAGACTAGCAAATCGCTGCAAGTAGGCCACTTCATGTCACTTCGATGCTGGTCGCGTGCGATTTGTCACAAGATAAAGAAGCATTTTCACGGAGTGGCATTCGAAGCAGTTTTGATATCCGCGGTTATGTTCCATCTGTTATATTCGTCTTTTGCATATCGCTTTCTGTTTTTACATTCAGATGCTCGTTTTTCTCAAATTGTCGTATTGTGACATCGTTCGCTTTACCTCTCATACTCCCTCCGTCCCGCTACTACGGTTCCGCCAGCCAACGTTGCGTTCAGCGATTGGTTTTTTCTCCTCACCGTTTGTTTCCCCCGTGTCGCCCATCTCCTCCCTTTCCAACTGTGCGCTGCTCGTGCAGTTCAGGGCTGTTCTGGGAAAAGGCGCCTTCAAGACAGTGTAAGCGGCTCTCCTGCTCCTCCTTCCCACATAGCACTTCGTAGCATGTCTGACTGTGCGTTCGTCCGTCCTTCCGTCCGTCCTTCCGCCTGTCTTTTGTCTGCCGCGCCCGCTAATCCCTCACTCGCCTGGCACTTCGTCCCCGCGTTACTTCACTTAACGAAGCTGCTAATCCCTCACTCGCCTGGCACTTCGTCCCCGCGTTACTTCACTTAACGAAGCTGCTAAGTCCACAACTTGTTTCGTCATCCTTTTATTGCATTGGCGTTATTGACTCTTTTTCGTGTTGCAGATACAAGGCGTTCGACAAAGCGGAGGGCATCGAGGTGGCATGGAACCAGGTGCAGGTGCGCGACGTGTTCCAGTCGCATGACGAGCTCGAACGCCTCTACTCCGAGGTGCATCTGCTCAAGACCCTTCGACATAAGAACATTATCAAGTTTTATGACTCGTGGGTGGACGCCCGCAACAAGAACGTCAATTTCATCACGGAGGTCTTCTCGTCCGGCACGCTCAGACAGTACGCGCTTTCCCATTTAAACTCTCTCGCTCTTTCCATCTCTCCATCCCCCTCCCTCCCCTTCCCTCCCTCGCCGCTCCGTCGATATCTGCATCCTTCTATCTCTCCATTCCGCCTGCTTTTTCGTGTTTCGGTCGCGTGCTAAGCGTCGGTCCTCTGCCTCTTGAAGAATGTCTGTTGCTTGAAGGTGATTGACGGCACGATTCGTCGTCATGAGCATTGTGCAGTTCACGTTTTGCACCGCTCGCTACTCACCCTTGACCGCCCCTCCCTTCCCTCCCACCCCCACGCTCCACTCCCGCGGCTTCCCCCACCCGCTGGCGCCCTCTCCCCCCCCCCCCTTCCGCCCCTCCCCCCATCTTCCGCACGCGCCTCCCCTCCCCACCTCCCTCCCGCGCGCGCGTGTCCGCTCGTGGGGCGGCAGGTTCCGGCAGCGGCACCGGCAGTGCGACCTGCGCGCGATCAAGAACTGGTCGCGGCAGGTGCTGCGCGGGCTGTTCTACCTGCACTCGCACGACCCGCCCATCATCCACCGCGACCTCAAGTGCGACAACATCTTCATCAACGGTAACCAGGGCGAGGTCAAGATCGGCGACCTCGGGCTCGCCGCCATCCTGCACCACCGCGACGCCGCGCATAGTGTTATTGGTAGGTTGCAGGGAAGGGAGTCGACGGTGTTGGTTTAGAGGGCTGATGGGTGGGTGGGTGGGTTTGGCTAGAGGGAGGGAGAGTGGGGAAGAGGACGCGCAATGAGGGGAGGAGCGAGGTGGGAGAGCGTGGGACATTGCGTGTAGGTAAGTTGAACAGCACTAGGAGGTGAAGGGAAGCGACCCACGGGTGGTGGTATAGTATGGTCATGGGGACGTGGAATTTGGGATTGCAAGGGCGTGGAGTCTCCAAGATGCTTTTCAATGTGAGACTGTGTTTTCACTGTTGTTCACCCTTCACACTCCCTTCCAGCCCCCTCCTCTCTCTCGTGTTTTTCAGTTCCCTTCTTCCCAGCCCCCCCTCACCCTCACCCTACGGCTCGTTCCGCACTCTCCCCCTCATTCCCGACCTTCCGCGTCTCCCACTCCCCCCCACCCCGAGTTCATGGCGCCGGAGCTGTACGAGGAGGAGTACAACGAGTTGGTGGACATATACGCGTCAAGCGTGCTGCCACTCCATTCCCAACCCTGACACCCACGCTACCGTTGACTTGGCACCGCCTTCCCCTTGCTTCCGTCCCCTGGTCTCCCACCTCCCCAACCCCCCCTCCCCTCCCCCAGGCACGCCCGAGTTCATGGCGCCGGAGCTGTACGAGGAGGAGTACAACGAGTTGGTGGACATATACGCGTTCGGCATGTGCTGATGCCAGTCCCCCTGCGCCTCACCCTACCGTTGACTTGACTCGACACCGCTTTCCCCTGGCTCCCCCCCTCTCCCCCACACGCCAGGCACGCCGGAGTTCATGGCGCCGGAGCTGTACGAGGAGGAGTACAACGAGTTGGTGGACATATACGCGTTCGGCATGTGCGTGCTCGAGATGATCACGCTCGAGTACCCCTACAGCGAGTGCACCAACGCCGCGCAGGTCTACAAGAAGGTCTCCGAGGTGCGTATTGACGGTGATGATGGGTGACCGGGGGTGATGACGGGGTGATGTGGGGTGATGATGGGTGGTGTGGGTTGGTGTGTTGGTAGGGTGTCTGCGGGTTGCGTCCAGTGCGCCTTGCTTTCCCCTGGCGATTTTCTTGTTCTTTTCTCTGCTTTCTCCCTCATCCCACCTACCATACTCCTCTCCCTTACCGCGTCCCGTCCTTCCTCTCAGTCTCACTCAATCACTCCCGCCACTCACAGTCTCGCCCCTCCACACCCCCTCCCCCGCCCTCCGCCCTCCGCCCTGCGCGATCAGGGCAAAAAGCCGCTGGCGCTGCAGCGCATTCCGGACGAGGGCATACGCGAGTTTGTAGAGATGTGTCTGGCGGACGCCTCCCGCCGCCTGCCCGCGCGCGACCTGCTGCGCCACCCCTTCCTCGCGGAAGGCTCTGGGTCGCTGCAGCAGCCCCCTTTCGCGAGCGCCGCCGACCGCGCCTCCCGCCCCCCCCCCGCAGAGGGCGGAGGGGGAAGAAAGAGCGGGAGGAGCGGGGGGAGCAGAGGCGGAAGATGGGGGGAGAGTGGGGGGAACGCGGGGGGAGGTGGAGGGGGCAGGGGGATGGGGATGGGGTGGTTGGGGGGGGATGAGCTGGTCAGTTTCAGGGGGGGTGAGGGCGGGCGCGGGGGGAGGGGCGGGGGACGGGGAGGGGGAGGGGAAAGGGCTGGGGGCGGGGGAAAAGGGGAAGAGACATGGGTGTGGGACACGAATCTAGAGGTGCCTAAGGCGGTTGGGGCGTGGGTGAAGCAGGGCGGGGAGGAGGAAGAGGCGGAGGAGGAGGTGGTCAGCAAACGCGCAGGATGGTCGGAGATTGTGGGGTTGATGGCGGAGACGTTGCAGCAGCAGGAGTGGGGGGCGGGTTCCAGCGAGGGAGGGGAAGCGGAGAAGGGGGTTGGTGAGAGGAGAGATGGGGGTAGTGGGGGGGAGGAGGACAATGAAGGCGTTGAGAGGGAGGGGGGAGAGGAGGGGGAGGAGGGGGAAGGGGATGGGAGGGGGAGTGGTAGCGGGGAGCATGAGAGAGAAAGCGGGACAGATAGTGAGTGTGGTGGAGGGGAGGGGCGTGGAGAGGAGGAGGGGTTGGCGAGTGTGGAGTCGGATGTTGATTTGGAAAGGGGGGAGTGCAGCAAGCAGCAGGAGGGCCGCACGGTGTGCATTCGCTTGCGACGCGCAGATGGCAAAGGTAGAGAGCCACAGAGCGATGCGTTAGGGAGCGAGCTAACTGCTTTAGGTTCAGTGGTTGGGTTGGGTCCACACTCGCTGACTCCAATCACGTGAGCTTGTTGGCTGGTTGGCTGGCTTGTTGGCTGGTTGGCTGGTTGGCTGGTTGGCTGGTTGGCTGGTTGGCTGGTTGGCTGGTTGCCGGTTGGCTGGTTGGCTGGTTGGTAGGTTGGTAGGTTGGTAGGTTGGTAGGTAGGGGGATTGGTCGCCCTTCCTAATGCATGGCCCTTTGCATGAAAGAAGTAAAGACGCGCACGGAAACCAGGGCTGACATACTTCACGTGCCAGTTTTGCCTTGATCTTTTTTTTCTTACTTGGTAACTTATTTCCTCACCATCCCCACCTCTTCCCCCTCCCCCGCTTCCTCCGCCTGCGCCTCCCCCTCCTCCTCCTCCCCCTCTCCCGCTCCCCTGTGCCAGGGCGCATGCACGTGATTCAGTTTCCCTTTGACACTTCGCGAGACTCAGCGTTCAGTGTGGCATGCGAGATGGTGGACGCGCTAGGCCTGCCCGACTCCGCCCTCGCATCCGTCGCCGATGAAATTGACGCCCAGCTCCTTGCCCTCGTGCCGCCCGCCCATGCTGCTGCTGCTGCTGCTGCTGCAGCTGCTACTGCGACCGCCGCTGACTTGGTTCTGGCTTCTAGTGGTGGCGGTGGTGTTGGTGTGGGGGGGGTTGCTGATGGGGATGCTGATGGTGGGATGGAGTCTGGGGTTGCAGAGGAGGGGTTGGAGGGGAGTGAGACGGAGGAGGAGGAATGGGCGGGGATAAGCGGAAGGGCAGGGCGGGAGGGGGCGCAGGGGTCTCCGCCAGTGTCTTTTGGGAGGGGAGCAGAGGGGGGTGCAGTGGGGGAGGGGGGGGGGAGCGGGGGAGCGGCGCATGGGGGTTTGAGAAGAGAGGAGCTTTATTGGATGGAGGAAGAGGATGAGGAGAGGGAGGAGAGTGCGTTGGAAAGTGAAAAGGGCGGAGAGGAGGGTGAGAAGACGGCTGGTGTGAGCAGTGGTGGGGAGGAGGTGAGGGAAGAAGCAGTGGAGGGAGGAGGTGAGGGAGGGAGAGAGGGAGGAGGAGAAGAGGGAGAGGGAGAGAGGAAGGGAGAGGCAGGGGGAGAAGAAGGGGGTGAGATAGAGGGCGAGGTAGGGGAAGAAGTTGGGGCGTCTGAAATAGGCAAGGCAGAGGATAATCGTAGCAGTGTGGAGCAGGTGGAGCAAGAGACAGAGCAGCATGCTGACGCTGCGGAGGAGGAGGAGGAAGAAGCCTGGGAGGGGGAAACGGAGGAGATGGAGGAGGAGGTGGAGGTGGGGGGGCAGGCGGAGGAGCAGGTGGGAGGAGAGGAGGCGCGGGAGGAGGTGCAGGAAGGGGTGGAGATCGGCGAGGGGTCAGGGTTGCTGGCTGTAACGCTCAGTGATCTGGTTGTCCCAACCAGCGAATCAGCCAGTGGGAGGCGACGTCCCGTACAAGTAGGGTGGGATGGAAGCCCTGAGGGCCTGGTGGCACTCGGAGGAGGGGGAGGAGGAGTGCGAGGGGGGCGAGGAGGAGGAGGAGGAGGAGGGGGAGGGGTGGGAGCAGGAGGTTTGACTTCGCCGTCCCACGGGCCGACGATCATGGCTCGTCTGGCGTCTAAGATGTTCCCTCTGAGCCTCGCTAAGCTTGCCTCGTCCAAGCGCCACCTCCCTCCCAGCAGCAGCAAGCCGATCCGAGGGAACAGCATCACCTTTGGCGTGGGCACGCACGTGGGGCAGCGGCTGGGAGCGGTGCCGAGGGGTGTGTCGCGGTTGTTAGGGATGGATGGAGCAGTGGATATGGATGAGCTACAGGTGCATGGGCGGTTTGTGTCGTTCCGATCGCCCACGGGAGATAGCTCTAGGAGCTCCATTGCGTCGGCTTCCTCGCAGTCTGCCCCTCCGTCTGCTCCTGCTGGTGCTGCTGCTGCGGACTGGGGTGTGGAGGAGGGGGGAGGTGTTCTGGACAGTGGTGGTGGTGGTGGGGGGGGAGGGGAGAGTGCACGTGGCAGTGATGCACTGTCTGTTATTGAGAGTGAGGAGGACGTGGTGCTGTCGGGAGGTGGGTCTATGGAGACCAGGCGTGCAGTGGAAGGAGCAGATCGGGGTGCGACTGCTAACGTCAATCCTACTGGTGCTTCTGTTGCTGATGCTGCTGCTGCTGCTGCTGCTGATGGCACGGTCATGCCGGGATACAGTCACGGCAGTGAGCTGGCACGACTGCCGTCCCTGCCGTCAGTAAATAAGGCCCCGTACCAGTCGCCTATGATGCGCAGCCTTAGTGTGGGCATGGGCAGTCTCGTGCATGCTGCAGCAGCGGCAGAGCATGCGGTAAGGAAGGGAGAAGATGGGCTAGGCGAGTGGGGTGAGGGAGTTGGGCCGGACGGGAGAGAGTTTGGGTGGGGTGGGGGGAGGTCCAGGTTCGGCGAATCTCCACGTGGTAGTCTGGGGAGTGGGAGAGGGGAGGAGGGAGAGGGTGGTGAGGCAGGGAGGAAGGCGATGATGGGTGGGGTGGGGTGGGAGGGAGTGGAGAAGGCGGAGAAGGGTTGTGAGAGGGGTGCTGGGAGCAGGGGGGAGAGGGGGAGGAGATGGGTGGTTCTGACAGAGCAAGAGGCGGGTCTGGTTGCAGAAATGGAGGGGGAGATTGCAGCAGTTAGGGAGAGGTATGAGCCGCGGATAGCACAGGTGCGTGCAGAGATCCATGGTCTGTTTGTGCAAGGGAGCGAGGATGGGGACTGGGGAGGAGGGGAAGAGGCGGGGAAGGGATCGATTAAGGAGAGGGGGGGTGAAGTAAGGGGAGATGGGGTTGGGTTTGTGGGTGGAGACAGGGGGAAGGTGGAGGATGGTGATGGTGTTGTCAAGCGGTTGGTGAGGGTTGCGGATGTGCAAGGCAGAGAAGGTGGTGATGTAGGTGTGGAGGATGGAGACGGTGCGACAGGCAAGGATGGGGCATGCCACAGTGGTAGTAGTACTGTGGTGCCCCACTCACCTGGAACTGGCTTGCAAAACCTCCCCACAGCTTCCCTTGCTGACGCCTCTGTGAAGGCTTCTACTGCCGCGGCCTCCCTCGCGCCTGGTACAACTCTCCCTGCTGCCGCTCCTGCAGTGGCTCCGCCTGCACCTGTGCTTGCTACACCTGCTGCTGCTGCTGCTGCTGCTGCTGCTGCTGCTGCTGCCACAGCTGCAGCCGTTCCATTATCTGCCACGTCATGTGTGCCTCCCTTGCCTGCATCATTACGCTCGCCTTCTCATCCTGTCTGCCCTCCTGTCACCATTGGGACTAGTGCTGTTGCTGCTCCTCCCCTTTCCCGGCCCGGCGAGAGGTTCGGAGTTCTGGAGGAAGAGGATCTTGGTAGTGGTGATTCCAACAGCGGCAGCAGCAGCAGCGGCTGTAACAGCAGAAGCAGGTTTGGAGCGGGAGATAGTGCTGGAAGGGGCTTGGATGGAGCAAGAGTAGCACCAGGTTCAAGAGCAGCCGCAGTAGCCGTAGCAGCTGCAGGCAGGGACGCAGCAGCATCAGCATCAGGATCAAGATCACCATCAGTGTCAGCGTCAGGGCCTCTGACTCGGACCGGCTCTCCTCCTCGCAACTCCAGAAGCAACAGCATTCCCGGCACGGACCGCAGTGCGTATGGAGGGCTGAATGGTGAAATTAGTAACGAGGCTCACAGCAGCAGCAGCAGCAGCAGCAGCAACAGCAGGGCAGGCCGGGAGATGGTGGAGCGGTCTATTGCCCTTATGGAGGCCAGCATTCTGGAAAGGCTGCCCTGCAGCGGTAAGCTCGCTGTGGGTCCTGCTGCTCTCTCTTCTCCTAATAGCTGTCAGCGGCCTGCTGCTGTGAAGGTTGGCAGCGCTGGTGGTGCTGGAGTTGTTGCTAAGGAGGGAGGCGTGGGTGCAGGTGTGGGTGTGGTAGGGTTGGGCAAAGGTGGTCCTGGTCTGGCCACCATACGACAATCAGCAAGAGCACAGTCGCCCAGCTATGCCTGCTCGTGAGTGACTGCGTGCGTGCGTACCCCATTTCTTCTGCATGTCCGTGTTGTCTTCTACGTGATAGCTTTGCATGTACAGTGCTAGTTTTCCGCCGTGTTGACTACCGTAGGTTGGAGTAGTTCCAGCATTCTAGAAATGGTTATTCTTTCATGTTAAAGTATGTGAAGCGATGTAGAGTTGCATAGTTGAGATAGTATACGTGGACGTCAGCTCCTACAGAATGTACCGCATGTAGGTTGTAGGTGGGTGGGAGGTTGGAAAAACTTCAAATCTAATCTTGGAATTGCAATCGACTGTAATGGTAGCCGTATGGCCCGGGATATAGGAGTCGTCCGACAGCTACACTCTACACTCCAGATATACGAGTCGTCCGACAGGCTTTTTCGTGCTGGTCTACAGTCTACACTCCCACTTCCAACCGACAGCTTTCCAAGCGAAGAGTCGCGTGTGCAAGAGCGGGGCGATACACGAGACGAGGGAACCCCATCGCTGCAGTCGAAGCGGAAACCGTGCGACTTATCTGGCGATGCCAAGGGTGCGAATGATGTTGATGTGAGTGCATGAGTGCGCGGGTGCATCAGTCGACCCGAGACCCATGGCTGCGTGTACCAATCGACGCGGGCGGAAGCCCCGAGCCGTTGTTTGGAGCTGCCGTGTTCCTCTAGTGACTGCCGCTATAGAAGCGGCGCCTGCTCGTCTTTGCAATCCGTGGTGATGCTTGGGAGCCTTGCGTTTACTCGTGTTGGCATTGTGTGACTCGTACAGAGTCACGCGTAGGTTCATCACTTCGTTCCTTGAGAGGAGGGAGACGAAGGAGAGAGGAGAGCGGGAGCGGGAGCGAGCGCCGCAAGTACTCCAGTTTTTGCGGGGTGGTGTGTATCACCGAGTTTGCTACGATGAAGCGAGGTGAACATTCAGGATTGCGAGGCTTCGTCGCGGCAGCGGATTCAATTAGCTCAGAATTTGCAGGAAGCGCAGGAAGCGCAGAAAGCGCAGGAAGTTACCGTTGCTGCGCCAGTTTAAACAGACGCTTTGCGCCGCCACCGCCGGGCATGAACGGCCGCGGTCCCCTGCTTGCCGTCATTCTATTGCTGGCGCATGCCGTCGTCACATCCCAAGGTATCCGATATTTCTGGCCTTCTGACGCTCTCACCGCGTTTTGACGCGCCTAAACAATGTTGCCGTCATCCTGTTGCTGACGCATGCAGTCGTCACATCCCAAGGTATCCGTTATTTCTGGCCTTCTGACGCTCTCACCGCGACCCGACCCGCTTCCTCTGGTTTTCCATCCCGTTCCGCTCGCCCCGCTCAAATTCCTCCCTACCGCCACGCACCCTCGCTTCCTGCCGTACCCATTCCCGTTCCCATTCCCGTTCCTGCCATGGTAATATCGCAGGTGCAGCAACGGGAGCAGCAGAGGTAGCATGCATGGGATCGGCTTGCACACTGCAAGGTACCCATACATTTGATGTGCATTTGATGTGCATTTGATGTGCATTTGATGTGCATTTGATGTGCATTTGATGTGCATTTGATGTGCATTTGATGTGCATTTGATGTGCATTTGATGTGCATTTGATGTGCATTTGATGTGCATTTGATGTGCATTTGATGTGCATTTGATGTGCATTTGATGTGCATTTGATGTGCATTTGATGTGCATTTGATGTGCATTTGATGTGCATTTGATGTGCATTTGATGTGCATTTGATGTGCATTTGATGTGCATTTGATGTGCATTTGATGTGCATTTGATGTGCATTTGATGTGCATTTGATGTGCATTTGATGTGCATTTGATGTGCATTTGATGTGCATTTGATGTGCATTTGATGTGCATTTGATGTGCATTTGATGTGCATTTGATGTGCATTTGATGTGCATTTGATGTGCATTTGATGTGCATTTGATGTGCATTTGATGTGCATTTGATGTGCATTTGATGTGCATTTGATGTGCATTTGATGTGCATTTGATGTGCATTTGATGTGCATTTGATGTGCATTTGATGTGCATTTGATGTGCATTTGATGTGCATTTGATGTGCATTTGATGTGCATTTGATGTGCATTTGATGTGCATTTGATGTGCATTTGATGTGCATTTGATGTGCATTTGATGTGCATTTGATGTGCATTTGATGTGCATTTGATGTGCATTTGATGTGCATTTGATGTGCATTTGATGTGCATTTGATGTGCATTTGATGTGCATTTGATGTGCATTTGATGTGCATTTGATGTGCATTTGATGTGCATTTGATGTGCATTTGATGTGCATTTGATGTGCATTTGATGTGCATTTGATGTGCATTTGATGTGCATTTGATGTGCATTTGATGTGCATTTGATGTGCATTTGATGTGCATTTGATGTGCATTTGATGTGCATTTGATGTGCATTTGATGTGCATTTGATGTGCATTTGATGTGCATTTGATGTGCATTTGATGTGCATTTGATGTGCATTTGATGTGCATTTGATGTGCATTTGATGTGCATTTGATGTGCATTTGATGTGCATTTGATGTGCATTTGATGTGCATTTGATGTGCATTTGATGTGCATTTGATGTGCATTTGATGTGCATTTGATTATCTCAATCGCTGTACCATGTTGATCCTCCATGGTTGTTCGCCTTTGCTGTCCCCTGCCTCATGCAGAGCTCCCTTATCGACATAAGGCGGCTCTTATGCGTGCCATGCATGCCCATGCATGCCCATGCAGGGCCATGCAGGCCAAGGCATGCCATCACTGTTATGCATGCCATGCAGGCCCATGTTCTAATTCTGGCTGTTCCTTCTTCGCCCTAAGAAAACCCGATTCAGAGCACCACATCTCCAGCTCACACTCACACTCACGCCACTCACTCACTCCCCCACACCAGATCTCTCTCCACCCCTCCCTACCCCTCCTCCCCCCACCAAACCCCATCCATACCTGCCAGTGTCAGCCTCGCTCCCTCCAGAGCGCACGCTCTTTCTCGCCCTGAACCACCTGCGCTACGCTGCGGGAGCGCCGCCCCTCTGCAACTCCACGGTGCTGAGAGCAGTCGCGCGCGAGTGGCTGCGCAACCTGTGGCTCGCGGGACTCACGCCTGACTGCCGGAACGGGTCCCTGGGCGCTGTTGCTACAGCAGGTACTGCTCTTTGCTAGTGCATTGGTGGTTGGAGTTGGAGAGTGCAGCGTTGATGAGTCTGGTGACATTGGTCTCTGGGTTTCATATTGTAGTGTTGTTGGGTTCTTCTTTTACGCTCTTCCGTTTCCTTGCGCTTGTTTTTTACTACCACCGCTGTTGTTCTCTTCTTTGTGCGTTACGTCCGCTTTTACCAATTCGTTTCTTGGAGGCAGGTCTTGGCACAGAAACGCCTGAATGCTACCAAGCACCTCTGCTCCCCCACGTGCGCAAAGAGTACACCCGCTACACTCCATTCATCACCTCGCTATATTCCCTCTTTGGAACCAGCACCAAGTCATCGAACCTGCAGAGCTTGCTGTCTAGTGATACTGCCGGAGCAGCGGATGAAGCAGCTAGGGCATTTGTGCATTCCACATTCGCAAACCTCCATTCCTCTTCTTCCTCCCCCGCTGCATTAATCGACTACTTATTCTCCGATGTGGGAATTTACATCATGGAAGGCTCGGGCATACAGGAAGAGTCGGAGCCTCTGGAGGATGAGACAAGTAGTACAAGCACAGGAAGCGTGCATGGAGGAAATAGCAGTAGTAGTGGTGGTGGTGGTTTATCTTCCCCATCGAAGGGCGTTGAGGTAGAGAAGGTTGGGGAGCACAACTGGTGGGTGGCCATGGTTGTTGGGCAGATGGGAGCAGGCTTGCAGTCATTCTGTGAGGTTCGGGGCCAGGTGGTCAGCCTTCCGGGCCGTGCTATTTTGGTTTGAGCAGCTTGAAGGGTGCAACCAGGGATGTTGCTAGTTAAAAACCCTGTCTGAAAATCAGACGGGATTTTTTTCCTTCGTCTGAGCGTCCGACGAAATTTTACACCAAGTCTGGAAATTCGGACGAATTATTTTTCCATGTCTGTAATTTCATATGAAATAGTGGGTGATAAGTAAATTACTGCAGAAAATCCTCACTTCTTGGTACCGGTACCGTACTCGGATCTTTCCAAGGATAAGGGTGACAGTAGCGCAAACAAATAAAAAAACAGGGACTGAAAAAAAGTACAGAATCAGCAGCTCCACTAATACCAATCCGACTATGATTGTGAACATCAGACAGCTGAGACTTTTGAGGCAGAATGGTGGTGGACCAGTTGAGCGGTGGCGACTTGTGAAGACGTGCTCCGCTGAAAAAAGGTACCGTAACAAACAGTCTACAAGGGAGCACCTTCTAGACAGTCTGCAAACAAATACCGTAACAGGCCCCAAAAATGTGTACCAAGAGCATGGGAGTTGGGCAGAGCCGAGTTCAGCCATGCCCACACCCACTGTCGTTTCGGTGGGTCCATTACCATATGCAGGAGGGTACGGTGAGGTGCCAGACGAGAACACAGTGTCACTTCTTGCAAGTTGACATGTTCTGGATGAAAGCTTGGGATAGGAGTATCTCCTTTTCCACCTGCACAATGTCACAAAGGCACATCATATAAGCAACCCCGGCCACCTAAAGCAACCCGCATGCGTTCTTCACACACCGCAAGTATCAAACTTTATGGCACTTCGAAAGCACAGGCTCCGCCTCACCTCCAGCTGTTTGATAAAAGCAACAGCAGCGTGAAGCAGCGACGCTGTATCGGTCCGTGCAGCCAGGTTGGTGGAGCACTGCTGGCGCAGCCACGATGCAGGAATGGCTTTCTCTAGTTGCTTTATCCTCGCGCTGCACACAGAAAGAAACAATGAAGATGCACAGATGCGGTCACACGAGCTTAGCTGCCTGGATCTGGACCGAATCGCTCATCAAGAAGGGCGGTCAAGAAAGAGAGACTGAAAGAGACAGAGAATTGTAGAAACAAATATCAGTCGTTCCCAAGGGGGCGTAGTGTACCTGACCCGGTGTCGTCTACGCTTCTCCGTGGCGCTGCGGCTGTGTATGGGCTGCCGTTCCACGCCCAGCTCCCTTCTTTGGGTCCCGCTTGGCATTGCCTGGGCCATTTGCAGCGGCCGTGCAGGATGAACCACAGGTTGTGTGGGCCGTGTTCCCTGTGCCCGTGTGGCTTCAAAAGCAGCGACAACGGCAGGGGTGGCGTTGTGGGTCGAACCAGCGATTCTACCAGCAGCAGCAGCAGTAGCAGCAGCAGCAGCTGCTGCTGCAGAAGCAGCTGGAGTAGACACGGCGGCAGCTGCAGGAGTAGAAACGGCAGCAGAGAGTGAGACAAGAGCTTCCATTTTCAAGCTTGGAAGATCTAGAAACGCACCACCGCTTCGGAATAGCGCAGCAATGCCAGGGTCAAGCCGATGATCGGGTGTAGGCGTCACATCTGCTGCCGCTGCCGTTGCCGCCGCTGCTGCTGCTGCTGCTGATGATGCCGATTCTGCTTCCATCTTCACAATTGCTGCCATTGTTGAAAAGTCAAGACCACCAACCAGCAGCGAAGCCTCTTCCATGGCCATCAACCCAGTAACGCTACTATGCGCCCAGACTCCCTTCCCTGTCGCAAGTGGGTCACTGACATTCCCTGGCGCCATGATGCCACTGGCATCGGTGCATCCTGAAACACTCTTTGGCAGCAGGAAAGCAGAAAGCGGGGCCGGGATGAGAGAGCAGACGTCTGTCAACGGCTCTCCCGGCAGGAGAGCAGGGGGGAGGTCGTTGGGGATGGTCCATGCAGCAGCCAAGTCCGCGTGTTCCACCCACCCAGAGGTAGTAGTAGTAGCAGTGGTAGTGGTGATCTCGGAGATTGGAACCTCGTTGAGAACAGCCTGGCGCAATCTGCGCTGGGAATGGCCCCCTTGTGCGGCAGCGGCGCCGGCGGCGGAAGCGGCTGCAGCGGCGGCAGTGGCGGCACAGGTTGAAGAGCCATCAGGCGGCGAGGAGAGGGAGGCGTCGTAGTAGTAGAGAGGTAGACAGGACGGAGCGTCCATGAGAAGGGTTATTGGATGCTGAGGTATTGGCTGGAAGTCGCTGATTGATTCAATCAATCTTAGAATGAGCTCTCCCATAATCCCCCGCATGTGAGCTGACATACTGCCGAACTGATAGTGGCAGATCGAAAAGGTCGGAGCGGGAGAAGGAGAGGGAGGTCCGAGGACCGGTCAGCGGAAGAAGCATGATCGCGACGGGAACAGGCGGCATGGTACCGAGGACGAGTCGAAATCAACGCCATGAGCGGGGGAATTGGGGGGAGGGGAAGTAAGGGGGGAAGTGGGGGGAGAAGGGGGGAAGTAAGGGGGGAAGTGGGGGGAGAAGGGGGGAAGTAAGGGGGGAAGTGGGGGGAGAAGGGGGGAAGTGTCGGGAGAAGGGGGGAAGTGTCGGGAGAAGGGGGGAAGCGGCGGCGGGGAAAGCGAAGGCTTTTCGGTCACCGATATGGCACTCTATCGAATTCTCTAGAAAGTGAATCTAGCATAAAGTTCGCGGTTTGAACGGCGGTGGTTTTAGCATGAGCAGAGAGTGCATCGTCCGCCAGTGATTCGACGATCCCAGGCCGACGATCCCAGGGCTACGGAGTCGGGCCGACGAAGCTCGCTTTTCATCATGACAGGGCATGGCTACGACATGTGAGGTAGAGTCCCGCACGGGCAAGTGGAGGACAGCCAGTGTACAGTCTATATACAGCCGAGCAGAAGTGAAGAGTGCTTGAAACTGGACGGCATCAGGCTGACAGTCAATCAGAATATATATGTAGAGTCTATTGGATTCCACCGGCGGTGGCATGGTGTCATGGCGGTGAAATCACGTCGCGTCCTGAGCTCAAAAGGGGCACGGCGAACCTGAGAGGACGGGGGTTGCTATGAACAGTCTCAGGTCGACAGATGAGCGTGTTGTTCCCTTATCAGCTTATGTACCTCCTTAGTATTCTGTTTGCTGGCTAATAGATTTAGGATGAGTTTCGAAGAATCCGCCCCAATCTTCCCCCTTGGCATCAGTCTCTCGGCTCCTCCTCATTTTCGAGGTACAGCTGAATGTCGATTGAGGCCAGCGGTCTCAGGTTTTGAAGCGTGGATTTTCAGGCAAGTTTCGTATGTGTGGACCGACACGTACAAAACACCTTAGAGCATTTTCTTTGACACATTTTCAAGGTTTAATCCAAGTAATACTATCATAAAACCATTGGGTCCTTTATGCAACAACCTTTTTCTTGAGATATCGCCATTGATGATTAAATCAGAGTTTTTGACTAATAGGCTTTTAAAATCTCCAACCTCTGTGTATCCATTAACCCTTCTTTTTACACTTTAAAACAGTATTAGATTCTGAGCCTTTGCAATTATGATACTTGTAATCACCCACAGTATAGAGGATGGGTTATTATCTTAGCTAACATTCTTGGAGTTTGAAATAGATTAAGGAATGACAGTTCAATTGCCTAAAGCATTTCCCGTTTTTGTTTTTAGAACCCTCTAAAACATTTCCCATTCTCAAGTGCTCAACATTGTTGAAATCGAAGAAACTTGGACCGAGGAGCAGAAAAATCTTCCCAAATATCAATGGCTTGTCATTATATCATATTAGCTCATATTTCATATCTTTGTGGCAGAAAGGTCTGAGCCGTTGTTGTGATGTGAGCGACAGTAAGGATGGGTAACTCGAAATAGCATTTGGTGTACACCTATCATCGATCTGATATGGATAAGGTTACAATAAATCTCGTTCCGCGTGCGCCCTACGGTTAGGTCTGGTATGGGGGTGAGTGAGGGCAAAAGGCGGTGGACATGTCACAGTCAGCTCTGGCGCGACAGCTGGGCGGGCGTACGCGTCGGAGAAGTTGCCGAATAAGAGTATATACTATCGCGGACTTTGGTTCACGAAGCACCATTAGCATTTTCCGGTTCAATAGGTATAGAAGTTACCTGTAAGGAAAATTCATTTTCCTTACTTCGCATCCCTGCTCAACGCGTACATCACTGTAGCACCACAGTCAGCACCGTTACCACTCGCAACCCTCGCATCAACAATCTGCCCGCCACCTTCGCACATCGCACCCCGACCTCACGGCTCGGCGGGTAACCCGCGCTCCGGGCCTCCGCTTCGACGCTTTTCCCAACCTCAGTCCCAGGCCCGTCGCGCGAGAACCACAGTCCATTACCGTTACCACTGTAGTTTCGCTATATAGCCTTCGCTCATGCCTTCGCTCATTGTACTTTTGCTTCGATAGTGCAATTCTCGTTCGTTCACTCAATTGCACTCGTAACACTTGGTATTCAGAGCCTACGACCTCTTCTCGGACCGCACCCACACCTTCGCTTCCCCACTTGTCAAAACATTATATAGCTTATGCTGTTGTGTAGGCTATAGTGGGGTATCCCATAGGGGGTACAACCCAATTAGGGTTTTCTATATGTACTCACCTCATTCATAGTTCATTCATCCTCGTTCTTCATTCTTCTCATGGTATCGAGCAGGTTCCCTCGTGGGAACTGTTCCTAGGGCCCACCGTTTTTTTTTTCCTGCCCGGAGCGCACTCTGCCCCTACCCGAGTCGCGCTCCCCTCTCTCTTGGCCCCTAGTGGCCCCCCCTTTAGCCGCCCGTCACGGCCCTTAGACGCCCGCGCGCCGCCCGTCCCGGCCCCTTAGACGCCCGCGCGCCGCCCGTCCCGGCCCCTAGACGCCCGTGCGCCACCCGGCCCGGCCCCTAGACGCCCGCGCGCCGCCCGTCCCGGCCCCTAGACGCCCGCGCGCCGCCCGTCCCGGCCCCTAGACGCCCGCGCGCCGCCCGTCCCGGCCCCTCGACGCCCGCGCGCCGCCCGTCCCGGCCCCACGCCGCCCGTGAGCCGCCCGTCCCGGCCCCTCGCCGCCCGTGAGCCGCCCGTCCCGGCCCCTAGACGCCCGCGCGCCGCCCGTCCCGGCCCCTAGACGCCCGCGCGCCGCCCGTCCCGGCCCCTCGACGCCCACGCGCCGCCCGTCCCGGCCCCTAGACGCCCGCGCGCCACCCGGCCCGACCCCTAGACGCCCGCGCGCCGCCCGTCCCGGCCCCTCGACGCCCGCGCGCCGCCCGTCCCGGCCCCTCGACGCCCGCGCGCCGCCCGTCCCGGCCCCACGCCGCCCGTGAGCCGCCCGTCCCGGCCGCGCACCGCAGTCCCGGCCTCACGCCGCCCGTGCGCCGCCCGTCCCAGCCGCGCGCCGCCGTCTCGGTCCCCACGCCGCCTGTGCCGCTGAGGAGCTGAGCCGCCCGAGCCGCCCGAGCAGCCCGAGCCGTGCTGCCCCTCAGCAGCACAACCGAGCCGCCCGACAGCAGAGCAGCCGAGCCGCCCAGCAGCCGAGCCGCTCAACAGCCGAGCCGCCCAGCAGCCGAGCCGCCCAGCAGCCGTGCCGCCCAGCAGCGGAGCCGCCGAGCCGCCGAGCCGCCCGGCAGCCGAGCCGCCGAGCCGCCGCGCCGCCCTCCTTCCGGGCCGCCCGACCTGTCCAGTCTGGTGAGCACAGCGCCCTTTCACTGCACTGCCCTCACCCTACTGTTTGCGCTGCCAGTCGTCTAGGGTCATGGCTACCCCTAGTGTTCTAGTCTTTGACGCTGAGGGTCGGGCCATTGACTTTGAGGTCTGGGTGGATGACCTGCAGCTGTTCTTACAGTGCGATAGGGCAGATGGTCTCTCTCTCTTTGACCTCACCTCTGGCGCCTCCACTGCCCCTGCTGCTGACGCCGACGCCACTGTTCGCTCCCAGTGGGCCACGCGCGACGCTGCTGCACGTCTTGCTGTGCGTCGCCACCTCCCTACCTCCGAGCGTGCACACTTTAGTCAGTACAAGAGTGCTCAGACCTTGTACGACGCTGTAGTTGCGCGCTACTCCTCCCCTGCCACTGCTGCACTGAGCCGTCTCATGCTACCGTACCTCTTTCCTGACCTTGCTGCCTTTCCCACAGTCGCTGACCTCATTACGCACCTCCGCACTAGTGACACTCGCTACCGCGCTGCACTCCCTGCTGACTTCTGCGCCAAGAACCCCCCCCCCATGTACATCACTCTTTACTACATAGTCACTCGCCTTCCTGACTCCCTTCGCATAGTCAGGGACCACTTTCTCTCTGTCTGTCCCACCACTCTCACTGTTGACCTCCTCGAGAAGTCCCTCCTAGCGGCCGAGAAGAGCATAGTCGCTGTAGGGGCCTCTCGTGGTGACCCGCGCACCCCCATCTTTGAGGGGTGTTCCCCCTCCCCCCTTCTGCCCTCTGTTGCCTCTGCTGCTGCGGCCGACCTCCTTGGTCTTGAGTCGGTCGGTGTGGCGTCTGCCCCTAGTGGGAGACGCCGCTCTGGCAAGGGCAAGGGGGGCAAGGGCACTGGAGGAGCGAGCGGGGGCGGTGGGGGTGGAGGTGGCGGCAGTGGGGGGAGTGGGGGTGGCGGTGGGAGTGGAGGTGGGGGTGGAGGAGTCGGTGGCGGCAGTGGAGGCGGAGGTGTCGGCGGCGGTGGCAGTGGGAGCGGGGGTGGCGGAGGTGGCGGCGGCGGAGGCGGAGGTGGAGGCGGCGGCAGTAGCGGAGGCGGCGGAGGCGGAGGAGGCGGCGGGGGTGGAGGTGGTGCTGGTCGCGGGTCTTCGCAGAGGAGTGGCTCCGGTGGTGGCTCGCGCCAGCAGCAGCAGCGTGGTTGTGACACCTTGTCCCCTCAGCAGCTTCGTGAGTGGTACACTGCGCGTCAGCGAGGTGGGGGTTTTGGTCCGTGCTCCTACGTTTTGCGCACCGGCGACCGTGCGGGTGAGCAGTGTGGGGGTCCCCACCCCACTCAGCGCTGCTTTGGCCGCCTGACGGACGCGTGGCGTCACCAGTTCCCGGAGGCCTCAGAGATCCCTCGTTGGGGTGACCTGTCCAGGGCGGGTGTTGCCATCTATGATCTTGACTTTGATGCTATTCTCTCTGCCATGTATGCTGTGTCTATTAGTGATGAGGGTGACTGTTACCGGTGTTTCCCGCCAGATCCGGGTATTGAGACTGCTGCTCTAGGTCCTGGTGAGGCTGCTGCCCTAGGTGCTTGCGACGCTGCTGCCCTAGGTGCTCGTGTGTCTGCGTCCTCAGGTACTGGTGAGTCTGCGCTCTCAGGTACTACGTCGGC